CCAGGTCTCAACCAGAGAGAGAGAGAGAGAGACGTGCATGCACAGGAATGTTCCTAGCTAGCTCTCTCCCTATCTATCTCTGTCTCGTTCAGCCCACCCATGCAACTTCGCCCAAGTTAGCTCGCGGCAGCCGCAAGCAACAACCGCCGTATGCCTGGTTAATATACTTCCCCGCGCGCGGACGGCGCGGAGCCCAACCGTGGTGCTCCGTGCCCGCCCGCGCGCCGCGCCCTCCCGGCACCGTCCCGCGGTGCGCGCCTCTTTCCACGGCCCCCCGCAGAAACGTACGCCGGATCGCGCGACGCAACGTACGCACGCCCACACACACCGCCTCAGCCCGATCCATCCACCGATCCACGTACGGCTCCACCACACACAGTGGCTGGGTTCGTTTCTCCTGCGCATAGAAAACGAAAAGATTCATTAATAGCATTTGATTAATTAAGTACTATTAACTATTTTTTAAAAAAAATTAATATGATTTTTTAAACAACTTTTGTATAGAAATATTTTTTAAAACAACATACTGTTTAGCATGTTGAAAAGCGTACGCGTGTAACATGAGGAAGATGAGTTGATAACACTGAGCAAAGAACACAGCCAGAATCGTTGATTACATACGGGGTTAACGTTCATCACACAGACACGGGTATAGGTTAGCTAGCAGCGTCCATCAGAACGGTGGTTACAGGCATGCGTCTGTGTCCAATATATATCGTGTACAAGTATGATTCTTCTATATATGTACGCGTCCGTGATGATTGGTCAAGAGAGGATTAATTCGGCCTCAACCAAGAAAGCTAGTTATCACAGATATATGGACTATGTTGTTATATATTCCACGAGTTTCTGGTGTTATTTTAGAGACGTAGGCAATTTTAGTCTGCAAATGTACACAATGCATCACATATTTTGTGATAGTGCGTGTGGTGGCTACTAGCTTATTAGCTTAGCTCGCGACGTTGACGTCGGCAGCGATATGCAGCCGGCCGGTCAATCATCGCGCGCGGTTGTGTACTTCTGGGCCAAACGAAACAGGCCATTGATAAATTTTTTTTTTGGTGTCATTGCGTGTACTTGGTCGGTCGTCAACAGTTCAGAGAGGTTTGTTCGGACCTGTGTAGTTCTATGAGTATGAGAAGCTAGTTTCTTCGGACATGATCTACAAAAATACTCCCTCCGGGCTGGGTTTATTAGTCGTTTCGGACAGGATTTCAAAAACCAAGAAGTCATTAAGTATGGTTCTTATTTCCTATTTTATCCCTATTAAAAACGGTTAGGTGTAGCATGCAAACAACCAACAACTACTCTCTCAGTTGGTTTAGTGCATTCATATTGGTGTCTTGGGACCTGAGTTCGATTTCTGCTCTAGATACATACCTTTTTTTTTGTCTTGGCAATTTTGCATGGCACCATGCATGAGTGTAGCCCATGCAGCTTCAGTACAGATAGCGCGCGAGGGCATGCGAAAATTAAATGAGATGGAAACGAAGCGTTAAAAGGAGTAACAAGAAGGTTATCTGGGAACAATAACGCCATCAATGCACAAGGGCAATCTCGTCTCATGCGTGGGAAAAATGCTCCAACGACAAATTTTCTCATCCACAGCTAACCGAGCCAAAACGACTAATAAACCCAGCCCGGAGGGAGTATTACAATTATTTTAAAATAAATCAATCTAGTAGTACAACAAATTTAAACATACTCTATATCGATTTGTTGCACATTCTAGTACGAGTTGGTTTATTTTGGGACGGATGGAGTATACTTTAACTATGTTTTTTATTATAATATATAACTAAATAGAAATATTTTTATTTTTATTATAGTATTTTGTAAGACAAATCTATGTTGATCTAATTAGTATATTTTCTAAGTTATCGATAGTTAAAGATCTCGAACTTTTTGTAAAGAGCACTGCTATAAACTTTTACTAACCATCATCTCAGCCGCCGTTTGATTTTATTAGATGGAAGTTATAAAAAAATCTAGACGCACGTACTCATAGCACGACACATTAGTGTTAGTAAAAATTTAGTAAGAAAAAGTTAGTACGTATAGACTTTTCCTTTTTAAAATGTCAAGAGTTACGAAGCGCACAAATTTTGACGATTTGACTCTTTGAAAAAACTAATTTTACAAATGAACCGCCACCAAAACTTATTTCAAAAATGATCCTTTTTTCAGCGTCAAATCGTGTGGCGCTGAACTTAGACACCTCAGCGCCACGTCAACTAGCGCTGAATACCGTGCCACCGTGGATAGGAGGTTAAGTCAGCGTGCCAATGTACATTTCAGCGCCATGCTATTTGGCGTTGAATGCCGTGCCACCACGGATGGGAGGTTAAGTCAGCGTGCCAACGCAAGTTCAGCGCCACACGATTTGACGCTGAACAAAAGGGTCAGTTTTAAAATAAGTTTTGGCGACGATTTATTTATAAAAATAGTTTTTACAAAGGGTCAAATTGTCAAAATTTGTATACGAAGCGGATGGAAGCTATTAGAACGAACATGCATGCGACGGTTGCCTCGCCAGCTCGAGCTGCATGTGGCTCTGCCTGCCTCGTCGATGGCTAGTCAGCTTCTACCTGCAACGGCCATTACCTGTCCAAACTGAAAATCGAATCATTCTCTGTACTGGCCTTCACATTTAATCCTTTCTTAAAACCTGCCCACATATAATCGATCGATCGATTCAACGAACTCCCTCAAAAACATGTTGCTTTGGACACATGAACAGATGCACATTTAATTCACAGCAAAAGTGAGTAGTGGGCGATAAGTTTTCATCGAGAAGTAATTAATTTTAAGAGGTTTGTTGATGCTTACGTTTGCTCGTCCGGTTTTTGGGGGCGTAAGAAACCAAAATCTCCAATGCTCGATCTTAGCGTGACTTGGACGGTATGGTGAAGTGGAAAAATGTGGGCTCGTATGTAAGGATTGCTTGTCGACATCTCTGACCTTTTTGATGGTGAAGATCTGTTTGTCTTCTGCAGAAAATAATAATGCCTAGCTTCTTTCCTACAAAAAAGTTTGAAAGCTATTTTTTGACGTAGATTTAATTTTGATCGATAAAAATAAAGCTGGACGTACTCGCACAAAAATTAAATGAGTGCTGCACGTCACATTTATATTGGGTCACTCTTTGTTGAGAGCTCCTTGTCCTTGCATGCAGGTCACTTTGCAAAGTACTAGCACAACAATTAGTTGATTAAATGCACAAGCGAAAAGAAAATGCATACTAGTAGTATCAGACAGTTCCTACTTATCATTTGAATTTTGAAACCTTGTTTTTTTTCAGATAATTTAATACAAGTATAAACTTTGTGTCTTTGCGCTAATTAGGAATGAACACAACCAATTTGTTGTCTTTAATATTTTTAGAACCTGTCGAGTGAAATCATACACATACGACTCTACCAAATCTGCGCATACGCTCAGTTATATGAGCTCATATGAATCAATTTACCATAGATGTTGACCAAACTGGGACAATGTTTAGAATTTAATTAGCACCTGAGATTTTTTTCTAATAATGGAAGTGTGATGCCTAATCACTGGACTCGGTACAGCGCTATCCATAATTTAAATAAGCAAAAGATTTATTCGATCGGGTGTTTTCAATCAACACACAACTTCAAAGAGTTAATAATTATTATTAGCAGGTGAAGAATCAATCATTGGGCATCTTGAAGAAACCACATCATATCAGGACATGTAGGTAGGAGGAAGACATCCCAAATTAAGCGGCCTGCTCAAACCGTGTTCTGACCTGCGTAAACAGGCAGGGACAAGCTGGGTCATACTAAGTTTTGTGGTCTGGTCTGAACTACCCTACCACATTAACATCCAAAACAATTTCCAATATATATATATTCAAGCACTAAACAGTGGAACGTGTTTCTCATGGTTACAGTGAAAACCGTATTAACACCATTCCTAATTGTAGCTGATTAGTCTCTCTTTGTATAGCTCTGGTGCAGTAGTTTTATTTTTTACTTACTAAGGAAGCAGCTGCTTTTTCAATAGAAATTGAGAGACGAGAGGTGCTGACCTTCATTTATTTAGCAGATGATAGAAGATGTATCCGCGGGTGTGTGCGAATAGCGATGTATGTATTCTTTCACATAATAAAAAAAAAACCTCATCCGGTTTTTAATATTTGAAGATGTTGACTGTTGGCATTAAAAAATATCTATTTATCTTATTAAAAAATTATGTAATATGCAAAAGTATAGATCTTATTAAAATAAATCACAACAAAAATAAATAATAATCACGTAATTTTTTCAATATAATGAATAGTCAATAAACAATGTTAAACATTAAAAACCAGATAAACCAGTTTAAATTTTAGAATATAATTTTTTTTGCACTAAATACTATAAAGCTGACATAAGTACATAGTAGACACATATAATAAGTACTCCCTCCGTCCCAAAATAAGTGCAGCCATGAGTTTTTTATCCAACTTTAATCGTTCGTCTTATTTAAATTTTTCTTTTGAAAACACTAAAAAATATAATCACATATAAAATGTTATTTATATTTTATAATCTAATAGCAATAAAAAATATTATTATAAAAAAATTAAATAAAACAGATGATCAAAGTTGAAAAAAAAACTTATGCCTGCGTTTATTTGGGTTTATTTGGGGCTGAGAGAGTACATCACAAACTTTCGATCACTCAAGAGTAAGCAGCACACGCAAGCAAAAGCCTTGCCTTCACTCCCCTCCTCTCATTTTTCCCAACTGCAACGAATGAAAATGTTGTTCTACAAAAAAGAGAATGAAAATGCCACGTCAGCACCCCCAAGCTCGGTCAGCTGAACTGAAGGCGGTTTTCTCACACTTCACCTACCTCGTTGACGCCTCCCCCCTTTCTCTCTCCATCCCATCTGAATTTACCAAGCAGCCACCACCAACAGATCATCGTGCTGGGCCGGTGGGCCCCACCTCCGCCGCCCCGCTTCGCTATATAACCCCCGCCTCCTCCCGCCATCCTCGCCTTCCCATTTCGAATCCAAACCCCCAACCCAACCGCCGCCACCACTCACCGGCGCAACCACCGGCGGCGACCTGATCTCTCTGCGTTTGTGTGCTCTGTTTCAAGAAACAGGGGAGGAGATGATGGAGGCGGTGGCCGTGGCGGCGGCGGTGCTGCTGCTGCTGCACGTGGCGGCGAGGGTGGCGGACGCGGTGTGGTGGCGGCCGAGGCGGCTGGAGGCGCACTTCGCGGGGCAGGGGGTGCGCGGCCCGCCGTACCGGTTCCTCGTCGGGTGCGTGAGGGAGATGGTGGCGCTCATGGCGGAGGCCACCGCGAAGCCCATGCCGCCCGCCGCGCCGCACAACGCGCTCCCCAGGGTGCTCGCGTTCTACCACTACTGGAGGAAGATCTACGGTATGTTGAGGACGGATGGATTTTGTGTGCTTGCTCGTGTCTGATCAGATGGATTAATGGCGGTCGTCGCGGTTGCAGGGCCGACGTTCTTGATTTGGTTCGGGCCGACACCGCGGCTCACGGTGGCGGAGCCGGAGATGGTGCGGGAGATCTTCCTCACGCGCGCCGAGGCGTTCGACCGCTACGAGGCGCACCCCGTGGTCCGGCAGCTGGAGGGCGACGGGCTCGTCAGCCTCCACGGCGACAAGTGGGCTCACCACCGCCGCGTCCTCACCCCCGGCTTCTACCCCGACAACCTCAACGTGAGTCTCTCCTCTGTTTCTTCATCCTCCGATCGATCGGGGCGCACCCGCGATGACGACGACGACGATGGCTGACACGTGCTCTGTCTCTGTCTCTCTCTTGCAGCGGCTGGTGCCGCACGTCGGCAGGTCGGTGGCGGCGCTGGCGGAGAGGTGGCGCGCCATGGCGTGCGCCGGCGGCGGCGAGGTGGAGGTGGACGTGGCGGAGTGGTTCCAGGCGGTGGCGGAGGAGGCCATCACGCGCGCCACGTTCGGCCGCAGCTACGACTCCGGCCGCGTCGTGTTCCGCTTGCAGGCCCGCCTCATGGCGTTCGCCTCCGAGGCCTTCCGCAAGGTGCTCGTCCCGGGATACAGGTACGGTACACGCCACGAACAACCCAAAAAACTCCCAAACGATTCGCCATTCTCGCCGAAATTGGGCTCACGGTTGGCGCCGGAATTCGATCGAACAGGTTCCTGCCGACCAAGAAGAACAGGATGTCGTGGGGCCTGGACAGGGAGATCAGGCGCGGCCTGGTCCGGCTCATCGGCCGGCGCAGTGGCGGCGACGGCGGCGAGGAAGACGAGACCACCACCGAGCTCAAAGACAAGCAGGACAGCGGCTTCAACGACTTGCTGGGGCTCATGATCAATGCCGGCGTGGACAGGACGATGCCGGTGGAGGACATGGTGGAGGAGTGCAAGACCTTCTTCTTCGCCGGCAAGCAGACGACCACCAACCTGCTCACCTGGGCCACCGTGCTGCTCGCCATGCACCCGGACTGGCAGGACCGCGCCCGCCGCGAGGTCCTCGCCGTCTGCGGCGATGCCGCCGGCGAGCTCCCCACCAAGGACCACCTCCCCAAGCTCAAGACGGTACGCACACCAAACCATATCCATGGCCCAGTGGGGGTATTCCCGTAATTCCACGCCGACAAAAGTCTCACCTTGTTGGTTCTCGCTGTCATCTTCTTCCAGCTCGGGATGATCCTCAACGAGACGCTGCGCCTGTACCCGCCGGCGGTGGCCACCATCCGCCGCGCCAAGTTCGACGTCACCCTCGGCGGCGGTGGCGACGGCGACGCCGGAGGCATCCATATCCCGCGCGACACGGAGCTGCTCGTCCCGATCATGGCGATCCACCACGACGCCCGGTTGTGGGGGCCCGACGCGGCCCAGTTCAACCCGGCGAGGTTCGCCAGCGGCGCGGCGCGCGCGGCGAAGCACCCGCTCGCCTTCATCCCGTTCGGGCTGGGCTCCCGCATGTGCATCGGCCAGAGCCTCGCCATCCTCGAGGCCAAGCTCACCATGGCCGTCCTCCTCCAGCGCTTCGACCTCGCGCTCTCGCCCACCTACGTGCACGCCCCCACCGTGCTGATGCTGCTCCACCCGCAGTACGGCGCGCCGTTGATCTTCCGGCCGCGCCAATCTCAGCCGTCCAATTAGCTACTATTACTAGGTAGGAGTACTAGTATTGCTAGCTAGGAAAAGACAGGAAAGCCCCTGTCCGTTGTGTGCATAGTGACACAGGAAAAGGCCAAGAGACAACTAACAAAAGGCTCTGCCCGTGGCAGGGGCAGGGCCGGATTCCGAAAATGCCCTCGCTAACAGACTAGTGGTACGATCAGAGCACAACTTTTAGGGATTTGATGGGTCAGAAACTCTCAGAAGAGAAGAAGAGAGACAGTAGTAGGGTAGTAGCAGTAGCCCCACACATCCACTGCTCGGTTGCTTCCATTTGTTCTCTTCTCCTTCGCGTGGATTCTGGTGTATGTATCGATCAATGCATGTACCTGTATGTGTGTGTTGTGTACAGGGGTGTGATTATTTTGATTCGGGACACCCGGCACTTCACAGCAAAGGAGAATTCCATTTGGAAAAAACATACAAAAAAGAAAACATAGAGAGAGAGAGGAAGGGAGAGATCGAGATTTGATTAATTGGTTGTACACGGTATTCCAGCCTTGTGCTCCTCTCCTTTCTAGCGTCTGGTCGGTGTGGTTGTTGTGTTGACAATCTATTCATTCATCGATCGAGTAGAATCTGTAACCGAAGCCTGCTGGAGTAGCTCCTCTTCACATGGTACTGGTACTAGTAGCAGCAGCAGCTGCAGCATATCTTATTGACCAATGAGGTTTTGATTTCATCAATAGCTAGAAAGCCCAAACATTTAGGGAAATGTTTGTGCTTTAGGGACTCTCGTTAGATTTTTGACTTTCCGAGATAAGGGGATCCTCTCTCTCCCATGCTCTTCATTCTGGTTATGGATGTACTCAATGCGATGCTCCGCCACGCCTCCGACTCCGGTGGTTTCCTTCCGCTTAATGATCGGGCCTTGCAACACCGCGCCTCCCTCTATGCTGATGATCTGGTCCTCTTCTTCTCCCCGATTCATCAGGATCTCGAGTTCATCCAGGGTATTCTTTATGTTTTTGGTGCCGCGTCCAGGCTACGCACCAACTTTGCCAAATGTTCGATCACCCCGATCCGTTGCTCGGCTGAGGACCTGGAGTTGGTTCAGTCCTGCTTTCCCTACGCGGTTTCTGATTTCCCTTGCACCTACTTCAGCATTCCGTTGTCCGTTCGCAAGTTGCCGAAGGCGGCCAGCTTGCAACCGCTTGTGGATAAAGTCTCCCATCGACTCCTGCCTTGGAAGGGACGACTTACACTCTGGCTGGCCATTCTGTGCTGGTCCAGACAGTTCTCTCCTCCATTCCGGTCCATGTATCTATGGCGATCGGCCTTCCAGTCTGGGTTATTAAGGCCTTTTACAAGAAGTGTCGCGCCTTCCTGTGGACAGGTACGGACTCGGCTCATGGTGGGCAGTGTCGGGTGTCCTAGACGAACGTTGTCGCCCCAAAACTTGTGGTGGGTTGGGGATCCCTAACCTCAGATTGGCAGGGTTTGACCTGCATGTTCGCTGGCTCTGGCTCCAGTGCTCAGGGCACCCCTATTGGGATGGCCTGAAGGCCCCAGTCGAGCAAACCGTCTCCGACATGTTCATGGCATCCACCTTCTTTTTGCTGGGAAATGGTGAGTCTATGCTCTTCTGGTCTGACCAACGGATCGACGGCCGCTCGGTGGCGTCCTTGGCTCTAGATCTCCTCTTCGTCGTTCCCCAGTGTCTCCGAGGTTCGCGCACAGTTGCTTCTGGCCTAGCAACAACTCTTGGGTCTCTGATATCCGCGGTGCCCTCACTATCCCGGTCATCTCCCAATTTCTCCTTATTTGGGATGCGGTGCTTCATGTACAGCTCTCGCCGGGTGTCAAGGATCATCTCATTTAACGTTGGACGGCTGACCAGCGCTACTCAGCGCATTCGGCATACCATGCATTCTTCTATGGCCAGCATTCCTTTGCATATGCTGATCTTCTCTGGAATGCAAAGGGTCCTGCCAAATTCAGGTCATTTCTTTGGTTTGCTTTCCAGCAGCTCTGCTGGACGGCTGATCTCCTCCAGAAGCGTGGCATCGATAGTCACTCGGCCTGCCCCTTTTGCGCTCAGGATCTTGAGACGGCGAACCACATCCTCCTCGACTGCGTGTTCGCTCGGCAGGTCTGGTTTCGGGTGTTGTCGCCTCCTAGCTGGGCTGCCCTCTCTCCCCACCGTGGCAGCTGGTTCTAGGACTGGTGGCCGTCCTCCAGGGCCTGCTTACCTGAGCACCTCCGCGACAACTTCGACTCCCTGGTGCGTCTGGTCTCTTTGCATCTGTGGAAGGAGCGGAACTCTAGGGTTTTCGACTCCGCTCTCTCTTCGGTCTCAGTGGTTCTGGAGTCCATCCACTCTAAGGGCCATCTGTGGTCTTTAGCTGGCGTCGCCGCTTTTGGGGATTTGTTGGGAGTCTAGCGTGGCTTGGCCCCTTCCCCCTGCTTGGAGTCTGTTTTTAGCCGCCGTAGTCTCCCTAAGCTTCAGTTTTTTTTTTCATTTGCTTTTTCTCCCTTCCCCTAGAATAGGCTGGTCTGGCTGATTGGCTCATGTAACTTAAACTCTTTTTCTTCAAATATATTGACGTGCAATCTTTTACGCGTTCGCGAAAAAAAGGTTAAATTAATCAAATGATTATTTCTGTGTTTTTCTGTATTTTACAATACTTTGTAATAAACCAGTGTTTTTCTATTCTTCTATTCAAATGGTTCCTTAGCTTGGATTAATTATGTTGCTACTAGAAGCACTAGCAATTCAGCATGTAATCATACTAGTCTAGTAGTAGTAGTAGTAGTAGGGTAGTTGAACTCCATGTAGAGAAAGCTCGTTTTCTTTTCGTGGAAAGTTATATCTCGGTCGGAAAAGGAGAGCGCAGGTAACGAAACGAGAGGATCGATGTTACGTAGGCCGTCGTGGAGTTGTGGTTTGGATGATCGATCGACGAGGAGGCCGATGATGACACGTACGTTCCCCCTGCCGTGACGGGCAAAATCCACGGGCTGTGATCAAGGGATCGGAGGAAGTCACGGACCGCGCGGACCGGCCGGCCGGCACGTCAGGCAAAACGGCAGCCTTTCCGGTCAGATCAGGCGCGCGCCAGACGACGACGCATATGAATGATGGCGTAACGAGACAGCAGCGCGCGGCCCCCCCAGCTCAGCTCAGCGCGGACGCGACGCGACGCGACGGGAGACGAGACGACGCGCGCGCAGGCGTAGATCGACCGGTCGACGCGACGTGTGGTGGGTGGCCGCGCGCGCGCCGCACGCAAGCTAGCGTAGCGCGACGGACGACACCGCCAAATCGGGCGCGGGCCGCCCGCGCGGGGGTGGAGAGAGAGGGAGATGCGGCTGCTGCTGCTGCGTGCGTGTGGCGACGACGACGTACGCGGGCGCGGGCGGGGCGGCGCGGGACACGCGCGCGGGTTGGTGCACCCCGCGTGTCCGGGGGGCGGGGCGCGGGTGGCGGACCCGGGATGCCGGCCTGCCTGCCTTCCCCTCTCGCTCCCGCGCGCGCGCATGTGTTGCTCGTGTATATGCGGCGCGCCCGCCCGCGCGAGCGCGAGGGGGTTGGGGTTGCATCCGGGCATGCATCGACCGGTCGTCGTTGGCGTGGCGCTGGTTCTCCTCCTTTGCTTGTCTCTACCCGCGGGACCGCGCGCGGATTGAGAATTTGAGATCCTCGGTTTCCAAAGACACCAGCCCAACGTTTGACATACTTATACTTCCTCCGTCCCAATATATTAAAACCTAGGATAGTATGAGACATTTTTTAAGTACTACGAATCTGGATGGACAGACAGTCTGTCCAGATTTGTAGTACTAGAAAATGTCCCATCATGTCCTATGTTTTAATATATTGGGACGGAGGGAGTATATTATAAGGCTTTCTAGCACTGCCTGCATTCATATATATGCTAATGAGTCTAGACATATATGTGTGCCTAGATTTATTAACATCTATATGAATGTGGGCAATAGTAGAAAAGTCTTATAATCTGAATTCTTTAAAACGAGGCTCATCAAAATGTAAAATCTAAGACTACTATAAGACTACTAATAAAATAAGAAAAAACATTCGAACGATGAAATTTGGTAATCGGCAAAGACGTCATCGGCTTAGAGTCATTATCGGCTGCAGCATCTCGGGATCAGCCGATGGGAGTTATCAAGTCGCCAATAGTCGGATTCCTGTTATATTCGGCTAAGGAAATCAATCTACTAATAGAAGCTTATCCATAAGTGACCGAGTTTAAAGAGAATGCGGCATGTCAAGTTATCTATTAAATAGGAATAGTTTGTTAGTTTCCTTTTATCTCTAGGAAAGTGTGTTTCGTGTCCTATAAGAACTTTATATTTTCCTTTTATCTTTAGGAAGGTTTCTTTCTTGTCCGACAAGAACTTGTATCAACCCATGGGTATAAATATGTACACCTGGGGTCATTGTAATCTATCCTCACAATCAATACAATTCGGCGCATCGCCACCTTTTACCTTTTCTACTTTATTTTATCGTCCGGCGGGACTTGGCACCTGACGCGGGGCTGCATCGGTGTTCGATCTCCAGTGAAAGGGTAAGTCCAATGTTCCGTCGGCCCAGGCAATTGTATCATCTACATCGGCGTCGTTCAAGGCTGCATCAGTACATTCGACCTCTTGGATTGCTCTGGTTTGGATGATATACTTGCCTACCTATTTATCATGTCTCTGTTAATCTAATCTTAGCATATCATTTTAGCTCTATCGGCTGTCTCTCGCTTTAGGGTTTCTGCCGGTATCGGCTAAATCGCGTTGCTAGATTAGATTAGCCTAGGCATCTACCACCCTGAAAATCAGTCAACGGCTTGATTGTCTAGATATTGTGTTTCTTTTCATACTTAGTGCTGCATCAGTTAAGTTTGATCTACTAAGTCATGCTTAGAACCATAATCTCTAACCTGCTTATTGATTGCCAATAAGGGTTTCATCGGGGTTTCAGCCGGTGAGTTATCTGGACGTTGCATCGGCTCATAAGGATTGCATATACATATAAGTTGGATTTAGCCGATGACAACAAATGTTTCATTGTTTAATCTAATCTTGTGGATTTCATGACATCGGACCTCCAGCTGATGGGTGCTTTAACCTTCGGATCAATACTTGTTCTACTATATCATATTGTTAGCCGATTGGTTTCTACTGGATTATATTACTATATTACATCATCATCAGCCGATTGCCTTTATATCATTATCTACATTTGACATATAGCCGATTGCTTAAACCCTATCGCTATCGGCTAGTATCGGCATCGGGTATCGGCTGGAACTACTCCATCGGCTTGTCAGCCGATTGGCTATTTTGATCTAATATTTGCATATCTCGTCAGTTGCAGGATCAAATTGACTGGCACGCCCGCATCTCATCATATTTGGACCTGCACTGGAGCTAAGCAGATCTCCCAGGCCGGTGTGTTCAATTTTTTCGTCAAACAGTTGGGTTCCATCAGCACGGTGACGTGTCGGCATGTGTACAT